TGTTTTTTGCGTTCCCTCGCAAAGAGGTTTTGCGTTATCTCACAAAAACATTTCTGTTTTCAGCTGTGCGTTGATCATCGCCTTTCATATTTCATATGTTTTTTTTGCTCAACCCAGCTTTTTTTTTCTTCCACCAATTTTTTCCCCCACCATCACGTCCCTTTCGGGTCTCAAACTAAAAGAAAAAACTCAAACTGGTTTAAAATGAGACAAGGGTACACAAATCATTACATATTTTTCATAGATTTTTGGGTGATCTATCCTTTTAATACTTTCAAACCTGTTTTCATGTTGTTATGATTGTTTAGCTTTATTGGAATACAGAAGAAGCTCCAAATAAGACAAAACACACCAGTAGATAAGTAATTGGTTCCACACAACATTTTATTGGTTTCCCAGGACGTCCGCGAGGTCTTAACTCTTGGATTTACAAAAAATTTTAGGCCTTAAAAAGTTTTAAATTCATTGAAATATGGTATTGTCTTTAATTTGTAATATTTCTAATAATTTCTAATAATTTGTAATTCTTAATTTTTTTTTGTAAGTGTAAAGCTACCCAATCGGTACAACCAACAGTCCAACTAAAAAATGTGATGCATTGTTGACACATTATTTAAAACATGAATTTAAATGAGGCAAGTAAAAATAGTGTCCACTTACCATTAGAAAAAAAATCGTAGTGTTTTGCTGTGTATAATTCTGAAAGTTAATTCATAATGGTCTTAATAAGTCTTAAATTTGACTATGTGAAACCCTGATTCCAAAGTCATCTTAAAAAAAAATCACCTTTGCTTTGTTTACTTCTTAAATGATGAAAGTCAGATTGATGACATAGACTAAAGAAAATTATTTCAGAGGGAGTAAAAAAAATAATTGGTAGGGTTTAGGACTTTAAGTGTTTAAAATCTGTTGCTTCCAATAGTAAAGATTAACGATTGACACTTACTCTTGTCTTTCTGTAGCTGTATTTAGTGCAGGGTGTGTACAGTTATCACCACTACATGCAGGATCGTGTGGATGACGATGGCTGGGGATGTGCATATCGTTCCCTTCAGACCATCTGCTCTTGGTTCCAGCAGCAAGGATATGTGGAGACAGCTGTTCCCACACACACGCAGATCCAGCAGGTAAGATAAACTGTCTCTGGATGGAACGGTGTTAAAGTTATGTGGTCTTGTTATATGGATTTAAGAGAAAACTTACATTTGGTTTGTCAGGCTCTTGTGGATGTTGGGGATAAAGAGCCACGTTTTGTGGGTTCACGTCAGTGGATCGGCTCCATTGAAGTTCAGGCTGTCCTTAACCAATTACTGGGCGTCACCTCAAAGATTATGTTTGTCAGGTAGCTAAGATGTTTACCATTTAGCGTGGTGTTTATTCATTTTTAAATATCCAGGTATATTTTTCTGTAGTTTTTTTTATCATGTTGTTCCACATGTTTGCCTATTGTTATGGATTGTATTTTTTCCCATATAATTTTATTCTTTTTCTTATTGTCAAGTGTCGATCAAATATATTTGTACAATTTGATTTAAAAAATTGTTTTTAATATCAAGCAGGATAAGTTGAATAGAATTGAATGAGAACACATGGAAATATTGATACATTTGGTTACAATGGCTATGGTGCTTTTGTGTGAAAGTAGATAGGTCATGGAAATTTCAGCTTTTTACTCAGTGAAAATCAGGGAAAAGTGTGGGAACCCTATGTGTAGTGCTTTTTTTCCATAACAAAATCTGATGCAGTTATACTGAAATAGGTTTATAATAGCAATTTCTAATCGGTTGGAATTTTAAAAATGGTTGATTTTTCTGTTAAAGTCAGGGTTCTGAGCTGGCAACCAAGGGCAGAGAGCTAGCTAATCATTTCCACACTGAAGGAACACCTGTCATGATTGGTATGTTAACATTTTATATTTAACTGTTGACTGGAGGGTAAAGAAAGTTCTATTGTCATGATTAACTTCTAACTTATTTCATAGTATATTATATTTTTAACTTCCATTCAAATGTCTGGGGTGCATTTAATATTGTTATAATTGTGACTGCAGCATCAGAGAGCAGGTTACTAAAAAAAAACATTATAAGTACATAATTAGAAAGCAGAAAACATTTTATGTAGTGCATAAAAATTTAAATGTGTTTCTGAGTGACTCAAAATAATGGAGCATGTCATAATAACAAATAAGCATTTCCTATTGAAAATATTCAAAATGTTCAAAATGTAGCCTAATAAGCATCATTTTAATATAATAGTCTTTTTTCAATGAAAATATTACTTTGCGCTTGTGCATTTTTGTATTGAACGATATTTATGTTCTAAAATGGTTAACTTCTCAGGGTATTGAACATGAATGATAGTTGAAATTTCTGGTATTTTTGTAATTTGTTACTTTGCTGTTTTATTTTATTTTTTTTTTTCTTCCTGACCAGGTGGGGGTGTACTTGCACACACTATTCTAGGCGTAGCGTGGAGTGAGAACACTGGAGAAATACGTTTTCTTATCCTGGACCCTCATTATACTGGTGGAGAGGACCTGCAGATCATTACTGACAAGGTACATTTGACAACAACACAGGTCTAGCTTTTTGTTTTGACGAGTTAAACTTTCTGCTCTGTCTTGCTGAAAACTAACCTCTTTCAATAAATGTAATTGTAATTATCGTAAGTGTTCTTCCATTATATCCAGAAATACATGGGATTTTAAGTGTCACAAATGTGCTTTCAAACATCAGTTACTTGTTCAGCAATGGTTGGAATACAGTATGTAGGCTAAATAGAAATAGGTTTTGCTGCACCTAGAGTTTCTGTAAAGGGATATTTCACCCTGAAATGAAAATATGCTTTTAATCTACTCACTAGGCCATCTAAGATGTATAATCTTAGTTAATATACAGTTGAAATCAGAATTATAAGCCCCCCTTTGAATTTCTTTTTAAAATATTTCCCAAATTATGTTTAACAGAGCAAGGACATTTCACAGTATGTCTGATAATATTTTTTTTTTCTGGAGGAAGTCTTATTTGTTTTATTTCGGCTAGAATAAAGCCAGCTTTTAATTTTTTTTAAACACCATTTAAGCTCAAAATTATTAGCCCCTTTAAGCTATATTTTTTTTCGGTAGTCTACAAAACAAACCACGGTTATACAATAACTTGCCTATTTACCGTAACTTGCCTAGTTATGCCTTTAAATGTCCCTGAAAGCTGTAAAGAAGTGTCTTGAAAAATATCTAGTCAAATATTATTTACTGTCATCATGGCAAAGATAAAATAAATGAGTTATTAAAACTATCATGTTTAGAAATGTTTTGAAAAAAATCTGTAAACAAATTGGCGGAAAAACGGGGGGGCCAATAGTTGTGGGAGGCTAATAATTCTGACTTCAACTGTATGTATGATCTAAGAGTTAGCTGAAATCTTGTTCCTCTTTGATTCATAAAATGGAAATAAATGGCTACCAGCAATTTAAAAGTGGGGAAAAACATAAAAGATAAATAATCAGTGCATTAAGGTTATATATATATATATATGTATGCATGTATGTGTGTGTGTGTATATATTGCGATATCAGTATAATTTTAGAAGATAACTCTATTTAGAAAGAATTCATAATTTTACATCAATTAGGATTATTTTGTAGGGGAGTGCATCTCTATCAAATGTACAAAATTATCAAATATATAATCTCAAAATTATAATATAAATCTTTTGAGATCCTATGATGTGACTATTGCAGATTCACACATTGCGATATTGATACTAAAACAACATTGTGCAGTCTTATCTTTAATGACCTGAAAGTGTGAAAATTACAGTAGTGGTTAGAAATTTGGTGAACTATCCTTGTTTTGGGTTATATGTTAATGGTGTGTGCTTGTGTTTGCTTCAGGGATGGTGTGGTTGGAAGGGGCCTGAGTTCTGGGATCAAAATGCCTATTACAACCTCTGCCTTCCACAGAGACCCAAGACCGTCTGAGTCACGTGCATGACACTTATTCGGTCTCCCTCATCTTGTGAGTTCAGCAGTTCACAGGAAGTCTTATTGTTTCAATAAGTGCAAAAAGACATGTCACTGTAAGAAGTGATTTATTATTCTTTGTACTTCCTGTTTTAACATCCTCTTTGAGTCACGCTAAATGTACTGGTTTCAGAAATGATGTTCTGCAAGGAATAACATGGATGATATTAGTAACATAAAATCTTTTAAGTTCCTCATAATAACGAAATATACCTGCGATATCTACCTGCACTTCAATAAAACGAACAGCAGCTAAAATATCATTCGAAAACAAACAAAAAAATGTCTCCTTCTTCAATGATTTGTTGCAATGTCTTGAACTTTGAGAGTCTCTGACTTTTCTCAGGTGTTTCCACAGTATACTTTGTACATTTTGATGCACTTGCATTTCTGCCACAATGCATGTCCTGTTTTCCTGTAGTTGACCAAATCACACCTTTTTTAACCTTTAGAGTTATTATCCACCACAAGTCTGCAAGTACTTTTTCATTAATTAAAAAAAAAACATTATAAGAGATGTAACTAATCAACAAGCTACGAGTTAAATCACAACTTGACAAACTCCTATATAAAGCAGACGATGAGACAAAAAGACAAAGGCATGAGATAAATAACTACAATCCCAAGAAGCATTGCAAATTACGTCATCAAATTATAAAAGTTAAATGTAAATCTAAACTATTGATTTAAAAGTAGCTGGTTGTATGTAGATGACACATGATCTGTTTTTGTTCTTTTTGTTCTCTGGATCTCTCTGATTGGTGTAATTTTTCAGCACAGCGTCATAGGTAATGTTTTGCAACACTGCTCCACTATCAAAAACAATTATAAGTCAAATTATTGCAAACTAGTGTTTCTACTAAAGCAAAGACAGTCAATGAGCTATCTTCAAATACAAGTGTGTTGTTGTTAGAAGTCTATTTCCCCTTGGAGAAAAATAAATGGAGTTTCTACTTCCAGAACCCAGCTGTTGCACTCCAGAAAGCTTGACAGCAAGTGGTTTGTCTTTGGTTTTGCTTGGTTTTGCTCATTTGCATCCACTCATTTCAACAGTCCCTGCCAATGCTAACTGACTGCTATAAAACTCTGAAAGTACTTCAGTTGATGTCTGAGTAATTGGTTCACAAGATGCGTGTGATCCTAATTAGTGTTACACTCTTTCCAGTCAGAAACCCGGAAGTTGTGATCTTCTCTTCCTCTGTTCTGCATCGACTGGTATAATGTCCACCAGTGTCAGTCATTCCTCTTGATCGGGAGGCTCCACATCACTTACCCCAGCCTAAATCATCTGATTCTCAGTTCTGAGGCTACAGTAGGCTTATTTCCAAGGGCATACTGATAGATCTGTTTACCATTCCACTCTAGCAATGGTTAAACCACCTGTTATTTTAGGATCTCTGTCTTGATGAGACCTGTATTCACCAGTCCCGTGCCCTCTTCCCATCTTGGGCACCAGAGGCGGCTGTGTGGCCTCTCTTCTGTCCTGCGAGAGTGCTGGTCAACACATGCTGTTCACTGAGGGATGACGAGGATGATGATGAAGCTTTCTTCAAGTCCTGTGTTCTTCGATGCAAGTTCAAAAATCTCCCGCACTCTTCATACCCACAAGACCATGCTATGTCCTCAGCAGTCTGTCCAGCGTTGTTGCAAATGCTGAATGAAAAAAATATTCATGTATTAGAAATCTGTTCATAAGATTGAAATCCACAGAATTTTCTTTTAATTAAGTATATGATCTGAATCTGAACAGCTTATATTATTTATTGTTTGTTACCTTAAACACTGGTAAGAAAAAACATACATAATAGCTGAAATTAGTAGTTTTAGAAAGGGGTTAAGAGTTCTCGCATGTTGTCAGCCAAAGTTGATTAAAACACAATTTCAAAAGTTTGGGACTAGTGAGATTTAATTTTTATTTTTTTAATTCAGCAAGGACAAATTATATCAATCAGTATTGACAGTAACGATATCTTCACTTACAAAACATTGCATTTTTAGTAAATGGGTTTTTGAACTGCCTGTCTCAATAAATATAAAAATGCGTCATGGTTTCCTCAAAATTACTAAGCAGCTGTTTTCAAAACTAAAAAATAAAACGCAATAAGAAATATTTATTTAGAATAAAGTAACCATGTTAGAATGATTTCTGAAAAAAAAAAACTTGACATCTAAAACTGGAGTAATTTAGCTTTGCCATTATTTAAATGCTCAAATATATTATTATAAAAGCACTTATAAATTGTAATTATTTAATCAACAGAACAGTTTATATCAAATAGATGTACTTAAAGGGATAAGTCAATGGCTGTTTCCCTCCAACATATTTCAATATGTCAATACAACAGAAAAAATTATTAAATTTGGAACACATGCATTTTTTTTATTATAGGGTTAACTATGCCTTTAACTACTTATCAAAATCAATTTTAAAACATTGGTGATATGAGAAATATTTCGTGAATGTACACATAAATCAGGCCTTTAACCAGCCTAGTGAAAGGGGTGGTTTGTGGTGTTTTTTTATTTTATTTATTTTATTTTACAAAAAGTGGACCTTTTTGTAGTTATTAGACTCATTTTCAGTTTAATTATGAGATATAAAGATAGCAATTTAGTGAGATTTTAAGCACATTTATTTGCTGGATTGGCTTGTTGGATGGTCACTGTTTTTTATGTACTAAAAACATTTTCTAAAGATTTTGAATAAAGAAATATGAAAAATAGGCTACTTATTTTTAGGCTGCTTTATGATACATCACTAGGGGGAAAATAGCAATCTGTTAAAGTTTTTTTCGTTTAAAACTCTAGCCTATTGTCATTTATTAGGCAAATAAACTGGCCAGCACATTCAACTTTCCTCAGTTTCAGAATTTGTTCATTTGAATAATAATAAATACAAAATAATAATAATAACGCAGAGCTTCATAATTTTTCTAGATTCTTTTGTAAAAAAGTACAATTGAAAATTCATGGATAATACCAATAGCCAAACTACTATTAATTTAAGCTGCTTTTGGTGCTTCACAACTTTTTATTGGTCTTTTTTTTTCTTTGAAGAATAAGATTTAAAATAAAAGTTACTTGTAAAATGTTTTTTCTATAACAATAATACAGTGAAAGTTAACTTTACTCACATCAGATTCTGATTGGTCTTAATCTTGGTCTTAATCACACTGAACTGAGCTAAACTGAACTTAAACATTAAAACCTGTATCACACTGTTCCAGTTACTATGACCATTTATGTGAAGCTGCTTTGACACAATCTACATTGTAAAAGCGCTATACAAATAAAGCTGAATTGAATTGAATTAATGCTTTTTTCCATGGGTTATTTTTATAATGATGGCATGACAGTCAAAATAGGACAAATGAGCTCATGTATAGGGTGGGTCTTCTAAACCATCCGAACACCCACTGGCTATTGGCATGTTCATTTAATTATTTTCATTTTGTACATTGATATCTTGTAAAATGTTATTTAATAAGAATTAATGTTTTATGTAAAACAAGCAACAAAAAAGTACAAATTTAACACTTTCGAACCAATGACTGAAACAGAAACACCTCTCACCCACACACACTTACTTAAACTGTGCATCCCTGGCCATCAACACACTGATGCACTCCAAACTGCCCGATCTGGCTGCTTTATGCATGGGTGTCTCTCCAGTTGCGTCCTGAAGAAAATAATCAAATGTTAATTACGATTTGGGAACAAAACGAACATGCATAGATTAAATAATTAGGATGTAGCCTATAAGCAAGAGCAGAAGCTGCTGGTAACTACCACAATATTAAGTTAAAAAAAAAAAAAAAAAAAACTGAGTCCGAATCTAGATTTTTTTTTTACCTGCTGGTTTGCATCAGCGCCTGTTTGGAGGAGCCAAAGCAAACAGAACGCCTGACCTCCGCATGCGGCGAGATGCGCTGGAGACTGTCCGGGACCATCCAAACCTCCATTCACTGCGAATCCGCTTTCAAACAAATCACTCATTCGCTCCAGCTGAATGTAGTTAAAAAAAAAAAAACACGTTCATAACTATTTTTTTTTTTGTAAGCAAAATAGATATTGTTTTGAAAGAAATCTCTTAAATATGTAAATCAGTGCATATTAAGTACTTGGTTATAAAATTCTTTGTATACCTATAATATATATAAATTGACTTACCGACTCTGTCTCAAGCAAAAACATGATCAACTGTCTGGTCAATTTCTCAAATAATAAATAGCTCCGATGACCGATGTTCGTTTAGGCTGCTCTGCTGTTGGTTCTGCAATCAAACAAGCACACATGCGTTTACAATGAAAAAAGCAGAAGCGCAGAGCCCTGTTTAGACCACGTGATTCATTGATACTAACCAATCAGGATCAAGAAGGGGCAGACGTGATCACGTGACTGTTCATCAATCCTACAGCTCGAACGCAAGCTGTGCAGTTCCACACGTAGGCACTTTGTTCATCGGTTCACACGTACTCGATACTTTGTTTTTAAAGTAGTTTTCAGAAGAGCTGTTGTTTACATTACAATTTAATTGGAACGTAAAACAACTGGTCCAACTGATCAATTTAAATAGGATTTTAGTGAAACTTTGGTCCAAGTAAATTATGTTGTTCAATAGACTCGTTCTCATCATTTATTATAATTTTATTATTGTTATATTTTTTCTATTATTTTTTATTCTTCGTAATTTAAAGAAAATGTTATATTTGCCTAAAGACACCTTTTGAAATTAGATAAACCTTTTTTCATTTCATTATTAATTTGTATTTACATTCCATTTATTTTATTTTATTTAAAATAAATAAATAGGCAAGACAAGTTTATTTATACAGCACATTTCAGAACTAATACTGTATAAAAAATTTTAGAACAAAAAATATAAGGGAAAAAAAGTGTTAAAACAGGTTTAAAATGAATTAAACAGAAGCGGTAAATAATTTTCTAGTGCACAATATACAACGTTTAGAAATGTAAACTTGCATTGTGTCAGCAACAGTTTGCTTTGTCCTTGGCTTGGTCATTTACAAGTTTAGATGTTTACAATGTTTATTGTAATGTAAAAGGGCAACATCTGAATAGGAAAAACGTTCATGTCTGGCTTTGCATGGTGTGAAAATGATGAATCTGCCATGGCATTTGTGTCAACATAAAAGAGGCTTTGAGGGAAGGTTACGTGCTGCATGCCTACAATCTAGCAGTATTGCAGCCTTTATACTGAGCTGGCAGCAGCATCATTAAACATGCACAGTGGTCACGTACTGTCTGGAATATATTGCAGACAGACAGATGGCAATGCTTTTTAAAGCCTGACATATGATATATTATTAGATTGTTGAAATCTTAGTTTATTTGCAAAAAATGTTCTGTGGACATGTGTTTACATGTTATTATGAAAACATGGTGCCTGTCAATCAATTCGACGGGCAAGAAAAACCCCACTCCTCCGTCACATTGCGGTGGGCCTCAAAATCACTTGGATTTAGATCCTATTTTAATGTCAGGACATTTTTAAAAAGAGACGTGTTGTGTTTATAGCACTCCAATATGACTGTGGACACACTATTCCTACAAACAGTTCTGTCCAAACAGCTTACAAAAGTAGATTTTCATAATAGGTGCCCTTTAATGTGATTATATATTATTTATAATTTAGTTGTAAAGAATTGAAATAAAACTAATTAAATTTGGAAGCGTCTCACAGACTTAATGAATATTGGATTTAATTGTTTCTCTATAAATAAAATAAGAATAAAAATGTAAACAGATTAAAATAAAACAATATGACAAATAAACAATCAAATAAAAAAAAATGGCAATAAATAAATAAATAAATATTCATTGATTATTCTCTTTTGAATAAACAAAAATACAAACACAGATGAAAATAAATAAAAAACTATCAATAAAATTATTAAAAATAATAAAAACTCTAAATAAATAATTATAAATATATACATATACATAAATTAATTACTGAATACATATATATTTTTTTAAATTATCACTTTTAGCAATATTTCTCTAAAAAAAATTAATAAAAAAATAAAATAAAACAAACAGCCGTCCAGTACCATAACTATTTATTAATTTAAATAAAAAAATAAACAAAGGTATTATTTATTATATATATTTCACACACACACACACACACACACACACACACACACACACACACACACACACACACACACACACACATATATATATATATATATATATATATATATATATATATATATATATATATATATATATATATATATATATATACCACAACTGTGTGCAAAGCAAGGTGTGTGTTTCCCACTGTTGGGTTGCGGCTGGAAGGTCCGCTGAGTAGAACATATGCTGGATAAGTTGGCGGTTCATTCCTGATTCATAAAGGGACTAGGCCGAAAAGGAATGAATTGGTGCAAAGCAGAAAATAAAGCACACCGCCCTGCTTTGATGGGGCGCCAAACTATTTGAGGAAATGACGTCACCTAGCTACCGTTGTTAACGAGCCCACACACTCATCTGTGCAGCGCACAGGGCGTCTAAAAGCTGCTGTTATAGCTTTTGTATTAAACCGTTATCATTCTGCAAAACAGTTGTTGGTTTACGCGACATATAATGCAGCACGTCAGCTCTGTGTCTCGGAGACTTTGCCTGACAGTGTCGTGGTCCCGCATGCTTTTGGTGTAAATGTCAAGAGGTAGGAACTGCTAACTACATTAGCTTTATGAGTTTGCGTTGGCGTGTTTGAGTCATGCACATGTTCAGAAGTGTATGGTTTTATTAGCTAACGATAAAAGAAAATATGCTTTTTATACGCAGCAGGAAATTGAATGTGTAGCTTAGAGGACGCTATTTCTGTGGCAGCTAACAAACAAACTTGCTTGTTAATGCTCTTGTCATAGTAACATTTCCCCCGTGTGTTTTATGAGCATGTTCTGTAACACTGCTTTCACCTCTGATCAAATAGTGCTAATTGACGTTTTACATTAACACCTGAACTGCTTTGTACGTTAAGTATATCAAGATTTTATTATTATTATTTTACCATTGCCAGAAAACACTAGAGATGCACTAATAGTCGTTTAATACTCAACATCGGTTATTCTCAGAAGTAACATTATAGCAATAATGTATTTTTATATCCATTATTATATTTTACAACATTTCATTCTGCTATTATTTTGACCATGATGATGATTATAATTTAATCTTTTATAATAGTTTCCTCAAATCGTTACATATCAATAATTAATTTAACATGCAGCAACAATCAAATATCTATTGATCATTTAGTAGTTTTTGCTCAGTTTCTACCTCAGTTTCTTTTCTATGTTTTGAACTTGACATGACAAAATGTTTTATACACTTTACTGTAGTAATGATGCCCCGATCAGGATTTTTGCAGCCGATATCGAGTACCAATTCCTTATCGTGGTGATCTGCTGATACAGAGTACCGATTCTGATGCTTCATGCTTTATAATGCATAAATCATGTTTTCCCTCTATGTATGATACTTGAGTGGAGATCTCACCTTACCTAAGAGAATACATTAATGATGCTTCAAAAGATCCCTGAACGTCATGGTCAGAAGCAGCTTTACAGAAAATAAATAATTAAAAAAAAATTTAAAAAAATTGGAAAGAAAAATTACAATGTAAATTGGAAACACTGCAAATGGTGAAAGAAGAATTCAGCATGTCTTAATCAAGAAAAAGTTAGTAGTGCATAATTGATGCATAAGAAGTTAAAATGCAAGTTCATTACTTTACTAAAAGGAAATAGTTCTATAAACTACTGTTAATGCAAAAGGTATAGTACAAGAAGTTATATTATTAAATATTCACGAAAAAAAGAAAACACACACACACATATAAAAAAGTATATATATATATATATATATATATATATATATATATATATATATATATATATATATATAATGGAAACATTACATAAAAAAAAAAAATTATATATTACTCCTTGTTCAAGCTCTTGTTCTCTCCATACTGGACTATTGCAACGCTCTACTAGTCGGGCTTCCTGCTAACTCTATCAATCCTCTTCAGATGCTTCAGAACGCAGCAGCACGAGTGGTCTTTAATGAACCTAAAAGAGCACATTTCACTCCGCTACTCATCCGCTTGCACTGGCTGCCAGTTGCTACTCTCATGAAATTCAAAGCTCTCATGTTTGCTTACAAAGCGACTTCTGCCTGCACTCCTTATCTGCTCTCACTTATGCAGATGTATGTGCTCTCCAGAAACTTGCTTTCTGTGAATGAACGTCGCCTCGTGGTTCCATCCCAAAGAGGGAAGAAATCACTTTCCCGAACGCTCGCGTTCAATCTGCCCAGTTGGTGGAATGAACTCCCTAACTGCATCAGAACGGCAGAGTCACTCGCTGTCTTCAAGAAACGACTAAAAACTCAACTATTTAGTCTCCACTTCACCTCCTAATCTGCAATTGCTTCTCTGGATATCACACTAACTGTACTCAAAAAAAAAAAAAAAAAATAAAACATTTATAATGCTTTCCTTCTTAGACTTTACAGACCTGAAACTTGCCTACAGCACTTATTTATTGTTGCTCTTATAGTTGTGTAAATTGCTTCCTTGTCCTCATTTGTAAGTCGCTTTGGATAAAAGCATCTGCTTAATGACTAAATGTAAAATGTAAATGTGGTTATCAGCACATACCGATCTTCAGCCAATTGATTGGAGCATTTCTAGTACTAAGCATTGTGTCTAAGGCTTGATACCATCTAGGACTGCACAATATATCGTTTCAGCATCAATATCGTAAAGTATGCGTCAGCAGTAGTCACATCGCAAGATATTCAATGTTAAGTCTCTGAATTATAGTTGACCAGGAGCTACAGAAATGTTTTAATTACTGTATTTATACATAATTTATATGATTAATGCCCAAAAATGTTTTCTTACTTAATTAGTATTTTTGTATTTTTTCTAGTCCAAATATCTACATTTCAAAGCCAAAACAACTTTATTTTTTAAGGGGAAAAACCAAATGAGACAGACCAAAGTAAGAAAAGCGTTTTATGCAGTGTAATTTTTTTTTTTACCTGAATACTGTTAGACTTACCAGACAACCATCAAATAGAGCTATTTAACCATCTTATGAAACTGTATTCATAATGCAATATTTATCACAGAAAAATAAAATATCGCAATATCAGATTTTTCCAATATTGTGCAGCCCTAATACAATGCACAGTTTTCAAAGGATAAATTCTGAGTTTAATTTTGAGATTAATATAAAAATGCTTACTAAAATATCTACAGGATTAAAAAATGGCATTGGAATACTTCCAAGTGTCCCACCACTAAGACAGTTTAGGGGTTAAAGCAGGGGTGGGCAATCTCGGTCCTGGAGGGCCGGTGTTCTGCACAGTTTTGCTCCAACCCTATTCAAACAGACCTCCCTATAGAGTTCAAGTGATCTTGAAGACTCTGATTAGTTTGTTCAGGTGTGTTTGACTAGTGTTGGAACAAAACTCTGCAGGGACACCGGCCCTAGACGATCAAGTTTGCCCATCCCTGGGTTAAAGTGATAGAATATTTTGCCATAAAAATGAAAAATCAGCCATTATATTGTCACCCTCAACTTGTTCAAAAGATATTTGAGTTTCTTTCTTTTGTTGAACACCAAGGAAGATATCTCAAAGAATGTTGGAAAGCAGCAGCTATTGCCTTCCATATTATTTGCGGTTCCTACTATGGGATGCCAATGGCTCCTGGTTTCAAAACATTCTTCAAAATATCTTGTTTTGTGTTCACCTGAAGAAAGAAATACATAAAAGCCTATATTAAAATCAGTGTGAGGAAATTTTTGGTAAACATGGTCACTTCTTATTTTCTTTATTTTGCTTTCAGGTTCGATTGACTGAGGGCACAGAAACATGTACAGCCCCAAGGAGCTGGAGGGAGAAGTTGACCACTCGTTCTTTGACAGTGACTGTGAACTTAATGAACACAAAAGTTCAAAGGATGGTCAGCTCAGTAAACAGAAGGCCTCAGAAAGACATGATGAGAGAACAGGAAAAGAGACTCATGTTTCAATGAATCAGATTGGTGATGGAGTTCACAATGGAGGGAACAATGAAGATAAAACCAGATTTGAGGGTGCTTCAAACCACCAGGCCAGCAGGAGACAGAGTCAAGACACAAGTGCCAAAAGCCGATCAGATGAAGGGTCTAGCGTGCGTTCATATTCATCCGATGAGGATAGAGAGCCTGAAGCTGATTTTAAACAGAGGAAAACCAATGGAAATGTTAACAGTGATGAGGATGATGACGGATACCATCATAGTGATGAGGAAAGCGAAGAGGATGCACGATCCTCAGCAACAAGATCAGCAAAACAGAAGGGAATGCCTAAAAAAACAGCTGGAAAAATTCACAGGCAGAGTCGAAGCCATTCAACATCATCATCTGATTCTGAATCCTCTCACAGCAGTGAAGAGAGAAGCACTTTTCGCTCTAGGAAATCACCGGTAAAACATCAACGGACTTCTTCAGCTGATCAGAAAGAGCGGCAAAAAGAAACAGCAGAATCTGAAGACACAGTCACTGACGTTACGCCTTTATCCACACCTAATATTAGTCCTTCCCAGTCAATAGATGTGACAGCAGATGTTCAACAGCAGCCGGGCTTTACCGAAGAGAAGTTGGCGGATGATGTTTCGGACGGTCAGGCCAGCATAAGCTCTGAAGGAGAAAATGGACCAGGTTTGTGCAATAAATTGAAGTTAATCATTTTGTCATGGCTGTCCTTTAAAATTCTCTTTCTCAATTTTGCAGAGTTTTTAAAAGTAGACAAACATTTTGACCGAGTGCTCATGGTCTCCAGCCCTGCCAGTGTTGTCGGCAGCCGTAAAAACTATTCCTTCACAAATGAGAAGGTGCGGGAAATCGACCGGGAGAACCAGCGGCTGTTACATGAACTGTCCAGAGCATCGTCACGTTCACATAGCGCCCGCTCTCCCTGTTCCAAAATGAGCAGTCGCAGGAGCAGTGCACCAACTGTACGCCTTTACCACAGTGCCCTCAACAGGCAACGTGAGCAGGAGCGAATTCAGAAGGAGAACCTGGTCAGTTAAATTCAATACGTTTTACCTGCATAATTGTTTTACGACAGTGGTTTTCTATTCTGGTCCTCAGGCTCCTCTGCCCTGCATATGTTGTATTGCTGCATCCCAGTTTGCATACTTAAACTACACCCTAAAAGCATATACTTTTTTGTGAAGGACAAATGTATACTTTTAAGTGTTATGAGCCCTGTCAATCATCCACATTACTGTCATATTTAATTTCCTACCTTTTTGGAGATGCAGCAGCGGGTTAATCTCCTATTGAGGAGTCTTTCATGCAAAGAAATCCTCTCCGGTCTATTAATTATGCATTCAGACGTTAATGTCCAAACTCATTTTTATACAAGTTCAGTATTGTTGTTGCAGATGCAATATAACGCAGAAAACGTGATTTAAATATTTTCCAGTGGGCTAGATATTAATTAACAGTCATACAAACATCTTTACTACGTGCGTCCACCATGTTTGTAGTGCATTTACACTTTTCATCCTTGTTTGTAGTTCTAATTGAATAGCGGATGGTATGTGAATTGGGACGCAGCATATGTCTTCCTTACTTAACACACCTGATTAGGTCATCAACTTGTTAACCAAGAGATCCATGAACTGATCCTTGTGTGTCAAATAAGAGAGACATACAAAATGTGTGGGACAGCGGGGCCCGAATTGAGAACCACTACACTACTATTACTGTTTACAGACAGTATTTCCAGCATTATACGCAGAACAAGTAATGAAAAGAGATTATACACTCTTAACGATAACAAAGAACAATAATGATAATAGAAATAAAATATTAATTGTTTTCAGAATATGTAAAAATTAAAAATGAGCTTGATTGTTTTTGATTGGTAACCATCTTCCCCAAATAACCCCTGCATTTGATCAGCAAATCAAATTTGATCTTATTTTAATAAAGGTTACATCACCCCAAAATTAAAATTCTGTAATACATTTTCTTTTTTTTTAGTGGAAAGGCATTATATATATATATATATATATATATATATATATATGTATATATGTTCTCTTCTGGAGATAAATGCATGTTTTGAAGAACATCAGGCTGAATACAAAATAATGACAGAAATTCTAACGTCATCCCTTAAGACAATCTTCTCTCTTCCTCCACTAGAGGGGGTGATTTCATATATTTTTAGTTATGCTGTGAATTCTATTCTAATATAGTTTTAGGTTTAATATTTTTATCACAACGAGAGCAACTCAGTCACACTTATTATAAAGCAACTACTACATAGAGAAACTTTATTATTCATCAAAGTGACGCAAGATTTTTTTTTTGTTGGATTTATATTTAAATGTCTGGGGTCAGTATAATTTATTTATTTATTTTAGAAAGACACTAATTACTGATTCATTACTTTTTTAAATGAGCAAAGATTTATTGAACTGATTATAAATGACAGCAAATATTAACACTGTTGCAATATATCCTTTCAAATAAATCGTTTAATTAAAATTATTATTTATCAAAGATAAGTGCAATAAAGTAGATCATGCAAAATATGAAGCAAGATTTTAATTGTTTTTTACACAGCTAGTAATTAGAAATGTTTCTTGAGCTCAACTCAAGTGTCCCAGTATGTATCTCCAGATGTTTTTGTGTCCTTAATGTAAGTGTTATTATTCATTCATCAAATTAATGTATGCAGAAGTGTGAGTGTTTATTTTAGTATTCTGCATGGCTAGGGGGGCGCTGTCAGCCACAGCCAGTGAAAGCAGAGAGACCGTTACCACCTGACTTAGACGAGAACAGACAGGTGGCACATGCTGCTCTTGACATTATACTCAGTTCACCCCCAGTCCCCAAATATATATATTTGTTACATTTAAATGTGCTGTTTTATTTATTTTAAACCATATCAGGGTGAGTAAATGAGGATGATCTCTCTTTCTTTCTTTCTTTCTTTCTTTCTTTCTTTCTTTCTTTCTTTCTTTCTTTCTTTCTTTCTTTCTTCACATTGCAGTAAGCCATTGCCTATGAATGAAAATTAATCGAGGTGTCCGCAGGGTCTTAAAAAGTAATAAAGATCTAATTGAAATTTAAAGTTGGTTAGTTTTTAGCATATCTATAAGTTAGTGCGCACCAAATTAGTGACAATTCATGTCCAGAACATATAAACATGTACAGCTTGTAGTTTATCACTTCCGCCTGAAGGGATCTGCACTTTCATTCATGTCACCTCATACTTCAGTTTCTTATCAAATCATAACCAATCAAATGCTCTAGTATTTGACTTGCTCCGCCCCCTTCAAAAGGCTTCACATTTGATGAAGTTCCTGATGAAAGTGCTTAACCACTCTCACTGGTAGAGCTTTGATAAAACAAAACCGAACGTTATTGGCTGTTTTTTAGAAGGGGAGGAGCTACTCTGTCTCACCCTCTTTTTGTTTTTCACTTGAGATTGCCAAACACTAAATAAAAAAGTCTACATTTTAAAGTACTTCACGATAGCTTTAATAGTTGATAAAGCAATCTAGAGAAATTAAAGGGTCTTAAATAGAGAAAAAGTCTTAAATGCTGTTTTACAAGGTATTTAATTTTGTATCGTTTTTGTTTGTACAATGTATAGTTGTATGCTAAAGTTTCCCTGAATTTAACTGTGAAAATTGGGATGCTGTGTATTTTGACATAAATAAACTAGACCTGCTAGAATTGACATAGCACTGCTTTGTTTACTGCATTAACCAAGGCAACACTGTTATTTCTGCAGTTCAATCGATGCCACCTACTGGATTAGCATTTTAATTTCTTTTAATTTACTTGAATAATGTTTTAGTTTAGGATTCGATTCTTACAATCAGTATTTATTAAATATACTGTGAGTTAAACTGTTACCAATGTTACCGGTTGAAACTTAAAGTGGTTGTGAGCTCCTAATATACAAGTCTTGAAGTCTGCAATAACCGGAAGCTGTGACTGTTTTTTTAAGCAGTTCCTAGAGAAACTAAATTTTAAATAAGAAAATAGTGGGAGTGACTTGTTTTTTTCCTACTGCAAGCTGATTGGATCTAGCAAAGACTATAGAAAACACAAGATATGTCACTCTTATACTTTTGAGTGGGCAAAATTGTAACTGTCAATATGGCGAATGAGGCCCCGCGTTCTAGTACAGGAGCCAATCATCGATCGCTATGTGGCAAATAAAGTCCGCCTTCTAGTACAGGAGTCAATCAGCGATTGCTATATGGCAAATAAAGTCCGCCTTCTAGTACAGGAGTCAATCAGCGATCACTATAGAATGACAATTCTCTGCGGGAAGGGCTGGGACCAGGCTTGATTTTTTGCAGGTTTTGTTTTATACAAGCGTTTAGAAATGAAACTAAATAGACAGTTTTTGTTTATTTTATTGGTTATTCATAATATGAAATGTAATTGTAAGCTTGGCAAGAAGCTTTGAAGAATTTGATGTTTCCCTATTCAAACAGAATGCCCAAGCATACTGCACGAGAGGAGTTTTAAATATGGCCGCCGAGTGAAATGACTTACCTTAAAGGGACTTTGGATGTTGTAAATTAGGCATTACATTCAAAAAGATCAGGAAAAGATCTCCTCATTATTTCTGTTTGTTGTCATAGTGATGATCATAGTGAAAACTGACAGTTGAAGGGGTATGGTTAAGTATATTAGCCATGTCCAATATCTCAGACAGACATAATCTGATAACTAAACTGAAAACAAACTGGAAGTGCATTTTCAGATTTCAACTAAAGATTACCAGGGCAAAGGATTATTTTTTTTCTGATGGCATGCAAAGATTAATTGTTTACCACAAAACTGTCAATGTGAGCGGACTAAATCAATATGGTTAGTTTTCATTTCATGTGTACTTAAAAAAAAAAAAAAAAAAAGCAAATGAAAGGTATTAAATTTCACTCTCTGATTCCAGTACATTCCCTGTTACTGTACGTTTGTGTTTGTTCTTTCTGAACATCACGGTCACCAATAATCTTTTGCTAACTCTCTTTCAGTCATCTTCAAAGGTCTTTACAGATTTAAACTGACCACTCAGGTTTTACTGATGAAAACAGAACGTACAATAGAAGAACAGAAAAAGAGCTGTGATTCAGACTGCTTATTCTTCGAGGTCTTGTTAGCGTTTTACTGCCTGGCAACTAATGCTGGAACACAAGATAAAAAGTACAAGATGGCCAGTGGCTTTCTTTATGAGCACTGAGCGAGATGTCCTCTGTCTTCACCTTTACTCTATTTCCACTCCCCGCTCTTTTCGTGGGTTTTGCTTACTGAGAGGTTTCCAAAGGGCTGTGTGTACCGACATACGAAGGCATGACAGCCTGTGACATTCTGATCCTCAAGCACTGGTTATTTTTATTCTCAATGGCTCACTGTAGCTTTTCAGAGTGCAGTTGTAGTCACTCTAATGGCCATCTTATTTTTTTTTAACTATTTAGTGCAGGTTAATCATTGTCTGGATGTTTTTTCAAAGCCTGAGATAATTTTTCTATTCATATTTCACTTTACACATTTTCCTTCTAATGACTTTTAATGCTTCAGTAACTAACTAACTAAATAAATAAATAAATAGCAATGATTAAAGATATTTAATTAAAATTCAGCAAAAATCATAGTTATGTAAAAAATTGTATTTAAAATTTATTTAATATATTATATATTTATATAATATATATATATATATATATATATATATATATATATATATATATATATCTATATCTATATATATATATATATATATATATATATATATATATATATATCTATATCTATATCTATCTATATATATATATATATATATATATATATATATATATATATATATATATATATATATATATATATATATATATATATATATATATATTATATAATATATTTAAATTAATACATTTATTTATTTAAAGATTTATTTTTCTACATGTATTTTTGTGTACATTTTATTTATTTATTTATTTATTTATTATTATTTTTTTAATTATTTTTTTTTTTTATTTTCAAGCCTATTCCGTTATTTCCGACATTTATATTAGTTTTTATTCATTACAATAGAAATGTATGATTTGGTCGAGGTTAATAATGAAAGCCACTCTAATAACACAATAATAATAATAATTGTACAGTTCTGGATGTGAATCAACATACTGACCTGTCTAATATAACTGCCTAATTCTCTAAAAAAAAAAAAATAAATAAAAACATTCTCAAACAAATATGCATAAAAATGAATATGCTTAAAAAATATTACTGCTCTAAGGTCAGTCTACAAAATATTAAGGAGAATTCATGTTTGTTAAATGACTATGATTGGTGTTGTTTCAGGCATTTCTGAAGCGTCTAGAATCTGTGAAGCCCACTCCTGGCATAACCAGAGATGAACAGCTAGCTGATTATCAGCGCCAGTGCCGATACATGGGAACACATAATACAGACATTCCACTGGTCAACCCCAAGACTTCTGGTATGTGTGCACACACACACACTTTAAATGATGATGTCACATTCAGTTATCACTGTAGCAGAGTATTACCTTAAGCTATTGTTGATTAAAACATAGAAAATGCACTGTGTATTTTTCATTCTGCATTGTTTTGTTATTACAATTATTCCGCTTATTATTTTAGACTGTTTTATAATATAACTAGATTTGTAAACTATAAGTAATGAAATAAATGTTTGTATTATTATTAACATAAATAATAATAAAGCAAAAGCATGGTAGATTTTTTTTTAAACTAGACTAATTAATTTTCTTATATATTTATTTAAAAAACACATTAAATGTATTTAATTAAGACTTATTTGTCAGTATGTGTTTTTGTGTACGTTCCATTTATTTATTTATTTTTATTTATTTTTTCAAGCCCATGGCATGATTTTAAACATTTATATTAGTTTTTATACATCACAATAGGAATATATGTTTTGGTCAAGTATAATAATGAAAGCTATTATTATTATTATTATTATTATTATTATTATTATTATTATTATTAACTCTAAGTAAAAATCTGGAATGATCTTTTTTTCATGTATCAATCACTTTATTTTTGCTAGTATGCAAATAGCTTCTATCAAAACATAAATGTGACCTTGAACCACAAAAGCATGGATGTCAAATGTGATTTATACATAAGCGGAAGCCAAATAAATAATCTTATAAATAATAAAGAATAATATTTGGACAAGATGCAGCTAAAAATGCAATCCAAAACTGTGTTTTAATGTATTCACTGGAAATCTACAATATATCCTTATGGAATGTGATTCTTACTTTATTTCCCAATGATATTTGGCATATAAGAAAAAATACCAAATGCAGTGCTTTTATTTATAAAATATACCCTTTAGGGCTGCACGACATGAGAAAAATAACATTGCAATATTTTTTATATTCTGCGATATGAATACAGTTTCACCAGATGACTTGACTATCTCTATTTGGAAATAATTCATAATTTTTGATAATTCTGTAATAGTGCATCTGTAAAAATTGTAATCAACAATCTACAATTCTAGATAAACTTAATAAAGAAAAAGATACAATTAAGATAAACAGTGTTTTATTGTTTTCCGCGAAGTCTTAATACCATTTAGGTATACAGTAATTGAATCAGATGTAAAATATTACTGTATAGTCTTCGTTGTATAATGAGTTTGATAAAATTAATCGTTATAAAAGTTACAAACTGTTATTTCTTAGGCTTGAGTGCTTTTAAAATCCTCACATTCACAGGCCTCAAAAAACACTTGCAAAATGATCTATTATAAACCAGACTTAACGTTGCAGATCCTGCGATGTGACTATTGCGAATGCTCACATTGCGATATCGATGCTGAACGAATATTTGTGCAGCACAAATACTCATATACCATTCTGAATTTGCCATTTAACTCCTTTATGTATTTTTTTTTCAATTTTTTTCATTTTTGTTTAAATCTGTGTTAAACAGTTGTAAATTCAGTTCTCTAATTGCTTTATTTGCGTTGCATTTTAACGTTCAAATCTGTTCAAATAATTGTTTTTTGTAAAATCTCATGTTAACTCTTGTTTTTTGATCAACGCAGGGAGAACTTCAAGACCTGGCAGCAGTCCTCACAAAACTAGACCGGAAACCGCTAAACTCCATAGAGTAAAGCCACGGCCTGCATGGTCATAATCATCAAATATTGCCTTCTCTTTCTCTGCTCTGACACTTTGATTTACATGACTTACTCTGACTGTAAGTAGATGACTGCAGGTCATAACACCAGACTTTCTGGATAAATCTTTCAAAACTTAAAGCGCTTGAGTTCACGCTTATTAGTCCTGATGTGGAGTGATTAAAAACTGTAATGTTTGTTTACACAGCTAAGTAGTCAATGATGTTATTACTTGAAAGTCTGTGGCTTAGATATTGCAGGACTAAACACATTCAGTCAAATGTTAAGTGTGACATTCCATTTTATGAGACATACTTCAGTGCCTATTTGTGACAGACACGTATGTTAAAACTATACATAGTTTTAAAGCCATTGCTGCTGTTATCAGAACAGTTAATTTCTTGATGAGTCTGTCAGAAAATGTATAATTCATGTTAAATAAATGCTTTAATAGTTATTTTGATATTTATAGTTGTTTCAGTTTTTGGAATGTAAAAGTGGTTTGTTTATAGGCTTTATGCACAGCATTTTCAGCCAATGATTAACGTCTGGTGAAAGCCTATTGTGCTATTACCAATTTTATAACAGCATCGATGTTGTAATGTAATTACATTACATTCAGTTAAATAAACCTAAGCATTCATTTAAGCATAAAACAAGATAAAGGACATGTAACGGCTAGCGCCACCAGGATAAGCAAGCAATCGCAGAAACTCCATTGAAAATACTGGGATAAAATACATTTTTCATATTTTAAAGACATGACTGAGGGAAATGGAATTTAATCCAGTGCTTCTTGTCTGGTCTGAGACCCACTTTATATTAAATATCTATTAGTCTGGGAAGATCACTGATTTTAAAGGAAATCAGACCTTATAAGTGACAATTTTATAATGGAAAGACGGTTCACTGGAAACCCTGAGGCTGGCTGGCTGAAATTAAAAGTTCATATACCCCTTTGACTCAGATGTGTGACACTTGAATAACTGGCATGCTGACGTTAAGTGACAAGCATGCTCAGACAATGTCCCGCCGGTTACTATGTAACGATGCCAGTAATTTGCCTGTCACTCTTAAACTGCTTTTGAAAAGGTTGACTGACACTTGTCGACACATGCTAGCTAGACTAATAAGGTTATCAAACAAGCACAGAGCCTGGCACCATAGACTTTGTTGTGGTAGTAAAACTCAGCTGACATTGCTTTAACTAGTGTATACGACTTATTTCCTTTTTTAATGTTGTTAACTAATATGAAATGTGTATATATACAGTTTAAGTCAGAATTATTAGCCCCCCTGTACATTTTTTCCCCAAATTTTGTTTAATGGAGAAGATTTTTTTCAACACATTTCTAAACCTAATAGTTTTAATACCTCATTTCTAATAAAAGATCATTTTATCTTTGCCCTCATGACTAAAAAAAATCTAGTAAAATAGTATTTTCTAAGACACTTCTATACAGTTTAAAGTGACATTTAAAGGCTTAATTAGGTTAATTAGGCAAGTTAGGATAATTTGACAAATTATTTAATTATTAAACGTTCTGTAGACTATCGAAAAAATATAGCTTAAATGGGCTAATAATTTTGTCTTTAAAGTGTTTTTAAAAAAAAAATTTAAAAAGCTTTTATTCTAGCCGAAATAAAACAATAAGAATTTCTACAGAAGAATAAGTATTATCAGACATACTGTGAAAATTTCCTTGCTTGTTTAAACATCATTTGGTAAATATTTAAAAAGGTTCTGACTTTAACTGTATATGTATGTATGTATGTATGTATGTATGTATGTATGTATGTATGTATGTATGTATGTATGTATGTATGTATGTATATATATATATATATATATATATATATATATATATATATATTACAGATTATTTTATAATATGTATTCAACGTAAAGTACCTTTTTTTACTTTTTACTTTTCATAAAATACTTTTATATTATAATTATAATATTTATGTAGTCTCTTATTTTCACAGAGGCTGCATTTATTTGATTAGAAATGCAGAAAAGACGATGACTTTACAATTTGAATGAACCGTTTCTATTTTAATATTCTTCTAAAAAGTCAATTGCATTTTTAATGCAACTATAGTCTTTGTTACATTATCATACTGAATATTTGGATTTGTTCATTTGGCAATCTTTTCTGTTCCATAGATTCTTGTACTCTTAAGCTTTACTGTAAATGTTCATGTAGTATAGGAACTATGCGTTTTACAGTTATTTGTTATAGATTCTATTAACTAAAATGTTTTAGTGAATTAAATTCTAAAGTAAATATAAGTCTACTACCATTACTGTTCTGAGACAACCTTCTGATTTCTGATTATTAATAAATATATAATCTGGCAGTTAAAAGTATCATAGTATCACAAATAAAAGAAGCAAGTTCACAAAATGTGTATTTTCAGCTTTATTGTTATTAAAAGAACACATGAAGTGGAATACACCACAAAAACATTCAGCTTTCCAGTGTACGGTCACTTGCTTCAGTCTGGGACAAAATGTTTTCAGCTAACTAGAAGAGAAGAGCCACTGTAGAACATGTAGACCCTCAAGATTTATGAGGAAATCAATTGAAATTCAAATAAATAAATGAGAAAAAAATAAACCATGACTTTCAATCTAACCAGACCGAAAGTCGACTTAAATTGAAGGGCAGTAGCAGGTAAACTTCAATATATTTACAAGTGTTGGGGTGGAGGATGCAGTGACCACCCACGATCACATGATCACCATCCACCCCTGGGCCAGCTTGGCTAAGTACACTTCCCTTGGTTGTTAAACATTCTACACAATTAAGACATACACAGCGCTCAGGGTTTCCTTTGGTGGGGATGGACATGATGGATGGAGAATGTTTATGTGTACTTCTTGATCTCATCATACAGGACCAGCACAAAAGCGCCTCCCGCACCTCTGATCACATTGGACAAGGCGCCCTTAAAGAAAGCTTTACCACCCTCATCTTTGGCGATCTTTTTCCAACAGTCGATTGTGCCCTTGTACATAATGTCAGCTTTTTGAGAGAAAAAAACAGGCGTTAGACTGATCATCAAAGCAGTTGGTTGTAAAATTTGAACAAAAATTTGGCCTACCTCCTTTGCGTCCGGACTGCATCATCATACGACGCCTGACAGTGTCGAAGGGATATGAAATGATACCAGCAACGGCTGTGACAGTCTGGGCGATCATCCAACTGACAACAATGTGTGTGTGCTTGGGATCCGGCAACATACCTAAATGATAGAGTTCACCAATTGTCATTGACGAGAAAATTGTTTTTATCCACAAGAGACTTTTGTGAGTAGTTGCTTACCTTTAGCTGTATCATAGATACCGAAGTAAGCAGCTCTGTAGATGATAATGCCCTGGACTGACACATTGAAGCCAAGGTAGAGACCCCTAAGACCATCAGACTTGAAGATCTTGGCAACACAGTTTCCGAGACCGGTGAACTCTCTCTCGGCTGCACCTTTGCCGATATCAGCAGCAAGTCTTGTTCTGGCGAAGTCAAGAGGGTAGACGAAGCACAGAGAGGTCGCACCTGCAGCACCGCCAGAGGCCAGATTACCGGCAAAGTAACGCCAGAACTGGGTATTCTTGTCCACTCCTCCGAGGAAGATCTTCTTGTACTTGTCTTTGAAGGCAAAGTTGAGGGCTTGTGTTGGGAAGTATCTGATGACGTTGGCAAGATTGCCTCTCCAGAACGACAGGAATCCCTGCTCTTTGGGAATTCTTACTACGCAGTCAATGATGCCTTTGTACTGCATATCGGCCGTGATCTGTTTGCTGGCATGTTGGACCTGTAAAGCAGCACAGTTCGGATTTGTTAGTGGAAGATGGAGCACTTTGGGTCATCGTGGTCATATTTTGTCATGTATGAGAAACCCCAAAGGCTGGGTTTGATTAAAAGTACAAATGGAAGAGTTCACATTTTGGTTTCTTTACACTTAGGGATCAGCCTGACCTCGTGCACAAGTTGCACTTGGCATCATGCCTCACTTGCGCACAGGGTTTAAGGATTGGGTTGCAGTCTCAAGACTATTTTTAACTTTAAACTTGCACCAAATATCACTGCTCCTCACAGGCACGGTCTTTACACACATGATTGGCCTTTCTAAACTCTGGCACTGATGGAAAGAGTGATGGAAGTAGGCAAGGTCAAATTTATGTGTTTAAACTTTCCGCAAAAATCATAAAAACCACAATAAAAATTAAAAAGCGGAGTTTAAATTACCAAGTAACATTAATCAAACATTAATTTAATTAACATTGTTCTGTACTCTGAATTACCTTTTTGCCATTTCTTAGTAAGGTTTTATAAAGAAGCACCATGGACAGCGTCATAATTTGTATGCCTTTTTAGTTAAACCTTTACCTTTATTCGCCTACTCTTCTTGATCAATTAGTTCAAAATTTACTGAATTGTTTCAAACTATGAACTAATTTTCAGTGCACTTTAATTCAAGGCACTACCTCACTAATATATGCAACTGTGATTCACATGCAGCGATTATTCGATTCTAATCTTATGTATGCAGATTTTAAAACCTACCTGCAGTAACAGCTTGACTCTCTCAATGGGGGCAACTGCTGTCTTGGAAATGGCAGCGGCCACACCACCGGCCAAGAAATCCTTCAAGAAGCTGATCGCTGCGTCAGACATGATGTCCTATCTCCTGGAAGACAATCTCACCACCTTAGGACCCTATATGAATCCCTGCGACGACCCTTCAAATGGACGAGTGCTCGTGTTTGCTCCTAATATATCCAGGGTCATTATCGCGAGAGGAGCGGGTGATTGATCCACGAGGGACCGAACCCAAACTCGAAGCTGAATAAATATCCCGGGTCATGGGCCAAGTGTCTTGCGCAAGTTCATTAATGTCCTGGGTCAAGGATCTGGGGACGTTTAAAGGACACATTTTATATACATTTTATTTGTTTACTAAAAAGCTGTCGAATTATTTAGTACTGGACAAGCGGGTTCATATATACAATAATCCGTGGTATTGTAACAGAATTTTTACAGGAATATGAAATGAATTAAAAAGTAAAATGACAAATTAGATTATTGTACCACACCAGTACCGAATTGTTGCATATTTACCCAAATTCGATTTGATAAAACCCAGAATTATGATGCATAGTTATAAATAATTTGCATATTAATTTTATTCATTCATTCAGTGTAAAAATGATGAGTGTTCGTAAATAAAATAGGTCAAAAAAGTAATTCAGCCAACATCTTCAATACTACTTTCTCCATTTTTTTATTCGGTTTTAATTGATTGTGTTAATGATATTTTTTTGTTTGTTGGTTTATTTCATTAAAAGTAAATTTTAATTGTACGGTTTTTTATTGGTTTATGTCTATATGAAGTAAGATAAGATATTTAAAAGTTAGTAGCCCTAAAATGTAAGATATAGCCAAATAATTCGTTCAGGTGCTATGCAGAAGGTCTTTGAAAATTATATGTGCAAAAACTGCTGGTGGTAATAGCATTTTTATGAATACAAATTTATTAAGACAGTATTAATATTTTTAATTGCTTTAATAAATAATTCTGCCTGATAGCTACAAAATCGTTTATATGGTAATTGGTTGCGTGGTCACGGTTATCTTAAGTGTTTTCGAACCTGTTTAATTTTGTAATGTGTTGCAGTGTGCGTTCCTACCGCAGACGCCTGCGCATTCAGACTAGCTTTAGATAACTGAAACCACCTCTCCATTTCATTTCTTTCCCTCGTCAAAGTTAGGTTTGTTGCCTGGCTACACTGCAGCCCTGAAGTTTTGAATGTTTCTAAAAACAAAGCAGGAAAAACTTCTTTACAACACAATGAATTTCCCAACACTAATCACACTTAAGATCAAATTTCCTAAAGCAAATGCTGTTTAACTGAATTTCTACCTTCCTTGAATCTGAAATATCACTCAGAAATGAATTTAATCTACATGCCAAATATAATGTCAAACGTAAATGTTCCAATTGGACGTTTGTTGCCAAAGAAGGGCCATTATGTTTCCCTAAATTAACCTATTCTTGAAATAATTGTGGGAAAAAACATTATAATAATCTAAAGAACTATAAAGTCTTTAAATGAATGAAAATTTCCATAAACGTTATGGATAATGAACAAAGCAAAATCTCCTATTTGCTGTGAGTACTAAAGTTTGGATTTAGTCGCTTTACGTCGCAAACGAGTGTGTTTTATTTTAGGGACATAGGCCTATATGACTAGCCTCATGCATTGAGAAATTATTATTCTTTATTTAAAAAGTAAAACCTTTTTAAAACATTTGAGATTAAGATTCACACTTCGTCATCAAAGTTATCACAATACACTTTCTGATACACTTACCAAACGCGCGCTCTTGGTCTCGTGCACGAACATCACGCGCCTTTTATGATTTGCGCGTGCAACCTGCCACTCCAGGCGCAAGCGCTTGTTGTTGCTATGAGCAACTTGGCTTCTCCTTTGTACCTACCCCAGCAGTCAGTTATTCCCTCTCATTAAAGTTTTTCAGTATTGAAAAGACAGACTGACATTTCGTCTTTTATAAAGTTCGATGCGTAATTTAATGTAACCTGTTTTCTTAGTGCGTGACGCACTTTGGAAAAGAGCTTGACAGAGTCCTTAAAACTTAAAACGTTTCATTCAGGATGTCCACTGTTTTTTCTATACGGCTCCCGGCCATCCAACACCCTTCATCAAGACTTGGAGATCCAGATCTCATCTCTCTCCGGGGTTATTCCACAGACTGCAGAGATCAGAGATGCTGGATCCCTCAGAAAGGAGCCAGAGCTCGGTCTCCAGACACGGAGAGCCTGGACTCTGCATTTCGCAGTCAGAGCAGCAGAAGTGATATAAGTTCTGTGGTGGAGAAGGGAAAAAGAGGATTAGATGTTCCAGAGCTGATTCCCGAGGGCGAAGAGGACATCCACGATAAAGCCAAACTACCTGCGTTCCGTGAGTCTCTAGCCTTACATTTATGTTGCTCGAGTCGTCAGTAACAATGAAGGGCACTTCTGCACCGCCTACAGCTGATAATGTAAGGGATATGCTTTGTGAATTTATGAGGTCTGCCTGTAAATCATTATTTTAGCACCTGAAACAGCGTCAAGAGGACTGATAAATTGCTGAGTGTGAAATATTTTGCGCCACATGCTCCATTAACATTGCATTATGAGCTGTCGCGCGGCCCGCTTGTAGATCATGTCTTCATGTTTAACCATCTGACATAATAAGAATGGCTGGGAATCTTAAATATTTTGTATAGAACCATTATTTTTAACAGATACATTTACATCATTCTAATTACTTTTATTGTCATAATTAATTTTAGTTTTTATTTTACTATTAAATACAATTTTATATTTTTTGCATTTCTAATTTAACAACTCATTTAATGTGCGAATGTTTAATAAAAAATATATCTTTTCGAGAGCCTTTAAAGCAGGGGTGACCAACCCTGTTCCTGGAGACCTCTGCAGGTTTCACGGTGCAACCCATATCAAACACTTGCCTGTAATTATCATGTGCTGTTCAGGTTCTAATTAATTGATTCAGGTGTGTTTGATCAGGGTTGGAGCTAAACTATACAGATCCCCAGGAACAGGGTTAAGCACCCCTGCTGTAAAGGAACCAGCTCCGAGCAGAACCAAAGGTCATGAGAATCATCCCCTAGGTTCACAGATTCTTGCTGTTAAGCTATATTTGTAATTAGAATAAGTTCGTTATTATTCATCATTATTCACTTGTTTGTCCACTCGAGGGCGCTGTCTTCTCATGCGATGAATTGTCTAGTAGTCAGCCAATCACTCTGTGATAGTGGTAAAAAAAACTCATTCTATAAATACTACATTAATAAAAGCAGTATCTGAAACGTGTACGGGTATTTATATTATATTTGCATTGTAATGATTTCATGAAAACTATCAAGTCTTAAAAATATGTGATCGTCCACCCAAATATGAAAATGAAGTAATTGTCTACTCATCCTCCACTTCCAAACCTGTTTGGGTTTCTTTCTTCTGTTAAACACAAAGGCTTAAACACAAAAATAATTAATAAAAAAGAATATTGAATAATATAAATATTTGCATGCCAGCTTTCACCCCAATTTTAAAACCACTTGATTGTGAATAATTCAATTCAATTCATCTTTATTTATATAGTGCTACAATGTAGATTGTGCCAAAGCAGCTTGTAATGGTGAGGATGTTTTTATTTTTGGGGTAATCTATACCTTTAAATGCAGTATTTAATGGTAAACTAAATTTGTTTGATACAGGTCACAGGGCAGCTTCAGAGAATCGCTCTATAAGCAGAGCTTCCCTTTCAACATACTCCAGCATTGGGCCATGGAAGACAGATCAGACTGATCAGGTAGTGCACACATTTAACTCATGATATCTTGATAACTATATTTTAAAAGTGTTATGGATTTAAAATTAAACATTTATTTAAAATGGATTTAAATACTCCAATAATAACTGAGCACTAAATCAGATTACTAAAGCATTATGTGACATTGACAACTGATGTAATGCCTGACATTTGCAAATGATATTTGTCATTTTAAATTATAATAATACGCTGAAAACAAATCTGTATTATAACAAATAATTAGTTTTTTTTTTTGTTTGTGATTTAAGCCCAATATTTAATTTATTTCCAAAATATTGGCCATCACCATCAACAAGGGTAGTGTGTAAAGGAAGCACCTCGGTGGTATGGTCCTGTTAAGGGTTGTTCATGTTCTGAGCTCAAAATAAAAAGGTTAACAGATAGTGCTGTCTCCTACCTGCTTATTCTGCTAGATTGCTGACAACAGAGACACTCAGGGTTGTGCGGTGTAGGACACAAGTGTTCTCCTAGCTTCAGTTGCCCACGTACAGCAATTATTACAATTTGCTTTGTACTTTAATAGACAAAAAATAAAAAAATAAAGTGAACAAATTTAGACGCAAAACTATTACCCCAATTTTTTATATGGATGAATGAACATTTTATGGGAGTTGCTGTTTTGCTTAAAGCTATATCTTCTTGTTTAAAACAAAAAGAGAATTTGAATTTATTGACTTTCTTTAACAAGACAAATATGCTTTGTACCAGGTTAGATAAAATTGTTCTCATGGAGATAGAAAATATTGTTTAAGGCAAATTATTTATTTTTCATTGGGTCAAGTGATCAAATTTAGATGTGAACTGTTGGAATATTTAATTAATTCCAACCGTGTTCAATAAGGTCAGGAGAGGTTTTTCTTCTAGGTTTAACATATTAGCAATTTATTGGATACGAATAAATAATTAGATTTACAGAATTCTGGTATCCTCAATGCAATGCAAAAGTTACATTCAGGAGGTGTGCAACAGTTTTCATTTCCTGACTTCAACTTGTATAGGCAGCTGATATTAACAGGTGTAGTTTAGTAAAATTCGTCACCTGACTCATTCTCCAGTCCTCCGTTGGCCGCACCCATACATACGTCCTCTTTTTCTACAAATTCTCTGCACATTAAAAAGCACAAGACTTGCAAATTCTTTCCTCACATGAAGTTTCGAGGCAAAGCTCAAGTTAATTTTAGACAAGCATTTGTCTACTTTTGCAAAAAGGCTTCATTAGTATGCAAAACATATCACACTCGAGAACAGGGCCGGAGTGGGACACCTTTTCAGCCCTGGAGTTTCAAGCCTCAGACCGGCCCACCTCAGTTC